TTTAGTGTATATACTGTCATATGTATCATATAATCTATATCTATACATGTAAAGTTGTACTCTCTGTATGACGTTTGTATGTCCGATCATAACTCAGGAACCCCTTGACCGTTTTGCCTCAAATTTTGATTGGGGAACTCGGGAGAATCACGGGAATGTTCTTATCTAGGTTTTGAGATTTAAGTTGAATGGGTCCACATTTATAGATAAAACCGTAATTTAAGACCAAGCCGAGTAAACGGTGGGAGTCTAGTAACTATGAGTACCCTGGGCAACGCTAAGGGCCCAGTGGGCCCAGTGGGTGCTACAGAATTATACTTAAATTCTATTTATATTCAGACAGCTTGATGCACTACTAAAATATCAGGTTTTAATGATTTATCAAATTGTACAAAAACGTTGATCATTGAATGTTTTTACTTGACCAAAATTTGGTAATTTTAGCTTCTCCCATGGTCAGATTTTTAAATCACTTGTACAGGGTGTCCCAAAAAACATGGGAATTCAGAGACGAATTCGATATCGTCTTTTTTATGAATTAGCTGTAATACCTAATTTCATTAGCCATAATAGTATTATGTCTGCTAGAGTTTATTTTATGAGAAGGGTAAAAGATTGTAAAAATGTGTCTATAATGTCTCCGCAAGATGAACAGTCAAGACGGACAAGTTTACTCTGTATACTTCAATTTTCTTGTTTTTCCAAGTACAACCAAGGATACGTTGTGAATCCTTGATCAGTCCAAGGTTTAAAGGATATGTTGTGAATCCTTGATCAGTCCAAGGTTTAAACGATATGTTGTGAATCCTTGATCAGTCCAAGGTTTAAAGGATATGTTGTGAATCCTTGATCAGTCCAAGGTTTAAAGGATATGTTGTGAATCCTTGATCAGTCCAAGGTTTAAAGGGTATGATTGTGAAATGTCCCTTCAATGTGACACTCTATATATTGATTTTTCTAATCTCTTTAACAAATAATTTATCAATTATATAAAGCAATGTACTTACATTTTTAATCTCTGATTGAAGGGGAATATTATTGATTGATAATCATATACTGTGTTCTGCATAAACAAGTAGCATGCAGCACTGATTGGGCCCCAACATTTTTGTGGGACCTTACATGGCCCCAAAGTGAATAAATACTAAAGTGGAACAGACTAAGGAAACGACGACAGGTTGGGCCATAAGGTTTTATTTGGTTTGGAAATAATTTCATGAAAAGATTTCGTTTGGAAAGTAAAGACTAGAAAAAATAGACTAAAGACCCATGTAAATGTCGTCTTCAGATAGANAAACAGCGTGCACATATTATAAGCAGTCTTAGCATCACTTTTGAAAAATACACAGCTAAATATTAAATTCCAAAAAATTAAAAATAAATTTTGACAAATGTCATTCAAAAACTTTTTTTTATAGAAAATCTTTATGAAAAAAAAACAAAGAAAAAAATCCTTTAATGATTTATTTTTACAATTCAGAACATAAATATATTATAATTTTCCTTTTTCTACAATTATTTACATAATCGGTTAACAAATCATAATCTTATTGCATTCATAAATCATTATCTTTTCTTTATCTTTTCTTTGAATTTGAATAAATCAAATTATTTATTATAAATATATAAGAAAACTTTAATTAAAAATGTTTTTTTTCTTGATTAATTCTAGGACCAGCTCGAATACAAATAAATGTCAGATTATATAGGATGTTAAAGTGATTTTGTTTATTCTTGTGCTTAAAGGGACTGACGTACCACATGCATAAAGGGCAATGCCCGATTTACAACGGTAACCTTTAAGTATGAATTAGATAGAAATATTCATAATTATGAAAACAGATTATTGTTTTTATATAAAAAATTACTTGCGCATTTCTACTTCATGTAAACATATATGTATTATCAGATTTAAAGACTTTAAAACGTAGAAAAACGACGAAATTTTTCACATTATTTATTAGATGAGGGACTAAATATTATTAATTAGATAAAGGGTGCCGTTGTGAATCGGACCTTGCCCTCTTTTCATAGAGGGACACTTGAAATTACGCTTACAGTCCCTTTAAAAGATACATTAATAAGATTAAATGTTACATGGCTGTAGTTGTTGAATTTATTAACGCCTATCAAATATCACAGCTGCTTTACTTGATGAGGCTTCCTCTTTCTAGCGTAATTAAAAAATGGTTGCAAAACTGAGTAACTCTGCGCAAAAACGTGTGCAATTCGGAAGCATATTCTTCCGGAATTACGCAATAATTTGTTCAATTTTTGGAACCGTTAGTTTCTTCAGGCTGTAAGAAGATCAAATATTCACAAAACTAGTTCATTATATATTGATATTTAAATGTTATTTCAAGGTAAAAGATCAAATAAAGTTCGATAGATCCAAAGCAAGGGCATTCCTCAAGTTAGGACTTAAACTAGTTCAATAAACATTAGACATATCAATTTTACAGTGTAAATAGACCCTTTTCACTTACATTGTGCTTTGCTAAGTTACTAGTAAAAATATTTGCTTTGTAAGAACACAAAGTATTGATATAATGTCTGCTTTCTATTCCATTGTTTTCTGGTTATCACTGTAAGTTTTATTTTTAAATTTCTACATTGAGTTAAGTACAAATTGTCGACCTGAAATTTACAATTTTCTTGAATAATCCTATAAACTATGTGACATAGAAATGATTGAAATAAATATGTATGTATAGTACATTGTATACTGCTGCTAGCTAAACCATTATATGGAATACATGAGCCTAAATCACCGAACCCAGACATTTTTCAATCTTGACTGCAGCCACAGGGTGTCCCACGACACATGACAGTTAAGATACGGCTTAGAAATGATTCCTTTATTTCAAATTTCCAGATTCTTTTAAAAACACGAATAAGAAAGACCACATTTTACAAATTCCGGACTAGGGTAATACTTATTTGAGATTATTGATTCAAGAATTTTACTTGTAATATTGTTTTTTTTTTTACGAATGAATGGTGCAAATTATGTTAAATATGAAAGACCAGCTTAAAGTTGTCTGTCAATGGTAATTTTTCGTATAAATATTATATTCTGAAACATCTTACTATTCTATATTTATTATAATTTACTTTTATTTAAAAACTCCTTTTTTGGATTTTTCTAACATTTATTAAAAATTTATTTAATATAAATAGTAAACTTCATAATGCATTTGTCACTTTAAAAGGGACTGTAAGTGTAATTTCAAGGTAACCTCTATAAAAAGATGGCAATGAGCGATTCACAACAGTACCATTAATACCGTTGTCTAATCAATAATGAATTAGAATGAATGTTTACAAATAATTGAAAGCTGTTTTTTCAATTGTGACGTAATTGTGACGTTACAAAAGTGAAGGTAAAAATATGGGAATGAGTGGACATAAACACTTTCAAACCATACAGAAACCAAAACATCTTTCGTATAATCCTGATATGCCAAACTCCTTACTTAACTAACACCCCACCGGTGTACATTTGAATATCCGTGCTGGGCCAACCTTTGCGGTCCTAGTTTGGACTGTACCGCCAATTTACAATTACTAAAGAGGTAGACCTGTGTGTACTTTATCAGCTTAATACTCTGCTGCAAATCTATCACAAACTCTACCCTCTCTACCTCTATAGGTTTATAACATCCATAAGCTGTGTTGAGCTGTCTATGTGTAGATATAAACAGGAACAGGTAAACAAGATGACAGCAAGTAGGGTCGAGTACTAAAAATAACTTATATTTGAGAGTTATAAAGATAGAAACGAAATAGGGATTTATATTACAACATTATTGATCAGATAAAGGTTTCAAGGGTACCGCTGTAAATTGGGAATTGCTATCTTTTCATGGAGGGTTCTTTGGAATACCGCTTACACTCCCTTTAAACAAAACTTGATAATAAAAAAAAAACCTTCACATTACCATTTGCCCCTCCCTTCTACATCCTCCGGCCTCCTTAACTCCATCAAATGATTAAATGTGCTTTTTCCAGACTTAATAGGATTTAAATGCAGTTAAGTTCTCTCAGTAAATTCAGATAACTGTTGGTCCAGAATATATAAAGAAATATGACGCTTTTAACAATTATTATTATACTAATTAAATATATATTTAAAAATAAGGTTATTGGAATGGAAGGGGATGTAGGACGGTTGGATGGAGTGGGATGTGAGGGTAATGAATGTTGTTGCTGTTGTATAATTAAAATGTTGTCCAGTAATACCATATGGTAACTTTAGTCACTGCATGGTCAGATAAATCTTTACCTTGGAGTTTACATAGTTCAGGGGTTCAACTGTATACGCATCTTTATACATACATTTCACGCATATTACGTTTAACTACAATAAGTATATACGCAATTTGAATATATTAACATTCCATAATTAAGCTGAAAAAGGGAAGGGGTTTGCTGTAAAGTTTGGCATGTAATGGGAGTGTGCATCTCCCCTAGGTATGTTAGGGGTGAAGCCCACTCCCCCGGGTGACAAGTAGTTTAATTAGTGGTTTCGAAGGTGAAATAAAATTGTCCATTCATCTTCTAATTGTCAACACTTCCTAGCTCCCTCATTCTTTTTCTTTAGTCTTTTATATTCACAGGATGTCCCAACTGGACTTGACCAAAATTTGGAAATCCCAAAACTTTGGTTTTTCGGAATACTATAAAAAATGGATGTTTTAAGGTGTTTTAGGGTGGTAAGTTTTAATCCCCTCCCTCCTCCAAACAAAATTTAAGTCAATATTTTTACAAGTTGAATGGTAATATAATTTTTTCCCGAAATAGAATCATATTTGGACATTTTTTTCAGAAAACAAATCATGCAAGACAATTTAATTTTTTTTTTAAATTATGTAAAAGTTCCCCAGTCAAGATTAGGAATATTTGAAATGAAGGGATTCGATTTGACAATGTAAAAATTACAAAATTCTTACAGAAAGTTTACATTTCACAAGAAAGAAAAGAAACGGCAATTTTTCCACATTTTTCTGATTACCACGCGCTGTACCTTGATGACCCTTCCCAAATCCACTAAACCACATATCTTTATCTTAAATCATGGTTACGTGAATTGAATACAATTACATGCGCCATGTATCCGACCCGTGCGCCTTGTGGAAAAAAATTACCGCGTTCAGTTCTCCGGAAAACTTGGAACCAGGACCATGCGAGCGTTTATAACATTTACAGTGCTCGGGTAAGTTTAAGGTTAAAAGTGTGGAGCAAGAAATATCAAAGTGAAATATTGTGAATTAAAGACGTAGAAAGGGCTGATAACGGGAATAAGCCCCCCCCCCCTTGGATAAATACCTGTATAGATGAAAACCCCAAAAGAGTTGCGAACCTTGCTTATAATGTGAAAACATGAACCTTAAATTCTTTAAAAGGAAGCTTGGTTGTTCATACATTTTATTTACTCATTTACATAAAGAAATTCGCACGCCGCTTTCAAGTGGTGTTAAGGTGCAAGTTTCCATTTAGGTAGAGAAAAAAAGGTCGTCTGCTTTAAATAGATTTTAGTACAAAGATGACAATGTCAGTGCAGCTGTATTCTTACGTCAATAAAGTTTTTGTCCGACAATAGTGATAATTTTAGACTAAAGTGCTTATCTTACAGTAAAATAAGTGCAGCTTTAGGTGTACTTAATTTTCTGTTTTTACACTTCTTCAGAAAATTTGGAGAAATTTTCGTTTTTCTTGTTATATTTGACACTTGTGACGTCGTGTATAATTGGTCCATTTCTCTGTTGCCACCTATTGTACTTGATAATCTATTTGGTTTGATTCACAACGGAACCCTTTAAACTGGAGAATAGACATTACACAATTTGGTTCCAAAAGGCACTCAATTTTCATCAAGAAAAAAGGGATTTTTCTGTCTTCCTAGTTTCGAATGGTCACTTGAAAATATTCTTACAGAATTTCTTAAGAAATCTAGATGTCCATATTTTATAAATTTTATTCTTTTTTGATTTGGTTACACCCATAGCATTCATTGTGTATTACAAAATAACTTATTGCAAAGTTTTTTTCTAGCTTTTAATAAAAAATAAGCTGAATGTTTAAAAGTGCGTGTTTAACGAATATGACGTAACAATGGTTAAGGAAATAAGAGTGACGTAGCGAACAAATATGGAGTAAGAGATGTTTTGAAAAATATGTTTCGTTTTAAACCCTAAACATTAATAATATTATTCAAATTTAAAATTTTAGTACAAGTAAATTGAATCTCTTTCAAAAAAAGATTAATTTTTTAAAATCAAATTATAATCAACAATTTTTTAACTCAATATTAAAATTACAGTAACTTCTTAAATTTTTTCAATCAGAATCAATTTTTTCTTTTCTGTATGAACTTTTAAAAATTTTAAAATCGAAATTTCTTTGTATAATTTATAGTTATAGTAATTTAATCTAGATTATTTATTGTAACTTGATTTTATTAAGTTATCTTTGATATATAAAGTAGTAATCTTTGTTTATTTGTATGTACGATCAAAACCCAGGAACACTTGACCGATTTTACTCAAATTTTTATTGAGAAACTCGAAAGCCATAGGTATTGTTAAATCAGAGTTAAATTTCTTTGTACTCTCATTGAAAACTTAAGAGCTTTTGTTTACATTTCTAATTAAGAGTTTTACAAATTAGAGTCATTCATTAGTTTAGGACACTGATAACTAGTAAGATTACTGATAAACTTTGTCTTTGCTATCTTCTTCACACTGTAATTCATAAACATGATTCTAATATTACGTTACTCTCTGTTACAACCCTTCCGCTGAGTACCCACCCTTTCTCTTATAGTTTTCACCCCCTCCTTACCTTATTCCTGATTTATCATCGTTGTTTTGTTTAAAATGTACACTGTACAGTGTACATCCATCTATTTATTTACAATTCTTATTCGCTTATAATGGGCCAACCAATCAAAACAACCTACTCTGGTTAGGCGGGTCCAAACTACATAGTAAATTATGATTATTTATTTGTATTATCTCGTGCTTTGTGGTTGAATAAAAATATGAAAATGAAATGATTAGTTTTGTGAATATAAACAGTGTGTCCCAATAACCATGCCATGTACAAGAGTGGACTAAAAGATCGTCTTTGATCTCAGAGAGTTCCCAGAGATATCTAAAGACGAAAAGTGATCGAATAATAATAATGTTAACATAATAAGGTTGCCTATGGAGAAGAATTTAAAATTCATCTATGGTATCTATGGAAAATAATGGTAATATCTATCTATGATCTATGGTATATATTTAGAAGAATTGTAATATCTATATCTATGGTATCTATGAAGAATTGCAATACTATCTATGGTGTCTATGTTGAGAAATGTTAATGTAAAGAGAATGGTGTTGTATTGATCTTTGTGCACTTTTCCTTGCCAATTCTTTGCAATAATGAACTATAGATGAAAATACTTGATAGATAGATAAACATATTGTTCAGTATATAGATAGATAGATACATAGATAGATAGATAGATAGATAGATAGATAGATAGATAGATAGATAGATAGATAGATAGATAGATAGATAGATAGATGTATAGATAGATAAATAGATAGATATATAGATAGATATATAGATAGATAGATAACTATAAACTATCTAAACTAACTATCTATCTATCTATCTATCTAGATAGATAGATGGGTAGATAGATGGATAGATAGATAGACAGATAGATAGCTAGATAGCTAGATAGCTAGATAAATAGATAAATAGACAAATAGATAAATAGATAAATAGATAAATAGATAAATAGATAAAAAGATAAATAGATAAATAGATAAATAGATAAATAGATAAATAGATAAATAGATAAATAGATAAATAGATAAATAGATAAATAGATAGATAGATAGATAAATGTACATCTGTGGCCAAAACTATTATTTGATTTGATGATTAAAGACAACCTGCAAAATACATACATACAACTAGAAGGATTTTTAGAAGCCTAAGCTGGGATATTTTGATGTTGGTATTCGCATAATCACAATAGTTTGATCTTGATATCTCCTGCGGACAACTTTAATTTGAGGATCAATGTCTTCATTTCTGAGTAATATCACCATGGAAAAATATCGAATTTAGATAAAGATTAAGCATTGATCTCGTTATGCATAGAGTTACCTATTACCTATTACCTATTACCCATTACCCATTACCTAGTACCTCACACCTATAATGCCTATTACCGATTACATTACTTATCTTATCTTTATTAAAATTTATTAATAGTTTATAACTTATCACTAGATGAATACTTTTAATTAAAAAAATATCTTTTTATAGGTGAAATATATCAATATTAAATATTATTCCATCTTTTTAAACATACGCAAAATATTTTTCTTTCAAAATACCTTTATTTGTAAAATCTCCTTTTTTCATTTATTGATAAAGTCATATTTAAGGCTAAAGAGATTGTTATTGTAATTAGTGTAGTTTCATAGTACCCTCAACTAAAGAGATTGTTATTATAATTGTTGTAGTTTCATATTATACCCTGAACTAAAGAGATTGTTATTGTAATTGTTGTAATTTCATAGTACCCTCAACTAAAGAGATTGTTATTGTAATTGTTGTAGTTTCATATTATACCCTCAACTAAAGAGAAATTTTTATTGTAATTATTGTAATTTTATATTACCCTCAAATAACGAGATTGTTATTGAAATTGTTGTAATTTCAAAGTACCCTCAACTAAAGAGATTGTTATTGTAATTGTTGTAATTTCAAAGTACCCTCAACTAAAGAGATTGTTATTGTAAATGTTGTAGTTTCATAGTACCCTCAACTAAAAAGATTGTTATTGTAATTGTTGTAGTTTCATATTACCCTCAACTAAAGAGATTGTTATTGTAAATGTTGTAGTTTCATAGTACCCTCTACTAAAGAGATTGTTATTGTAATTGTTGTAATTTCATATTACCCTCAACTAAAGAGATTGTTATTGTAATTGTTGTAATTTCATATTACCCTCAACTAAAGAGAAATTTTAATTGTAATTGTTGTAATTTCATATTACCCTCAACTAAGGAGATTGTTATTGAAATTGTTGTAATTTCAAAATTACCATCAACTAAAGAGAAATTTTAATTGTAATTGTTGTAATTTCATATTACCCTCAACTTAAGAGATTGTTATTGAAATTGTTGTAATTTCAAATTACCCTCAACTAAAGAGAATTTTTTATTGTAATTGTTATAATTTAATATTACCCTCAACTAAAGAGAAATTTTATTGTAATTGTTGTAAGTTCATATTACCCTCAACTAAAGAGATTGTTATTGTAGTTATTTTAGTTTCAAATTATGCCCTCAACTAAATAGATTGTTATTGTAATTATTGTATAAGTTTCAAATTACCCTCAACTAAATAGATTGTTATTATAATTATTGTAGTTTCAAATTATACCCTCAACTAAAAAGAAGGACATGATTGATTCACAAAGGAACTCTAAACATAATATATCAGATTAAAAAATGTGGAAGATATTTTCGTTTTCTATCACTTGAAAAGTGTTAAATTCTCACAATTAAACTACAATTGTTGGCCCCAAGAAAATTGATTCTTGAAATAAAGTAACAAGCAAGGCAGCAGAGGTCGGTAGTTGAAGGGTATTTATTTTCCCTCACTATTGATCCCGATCAGTGCAGCTGATACACAAACAGAACAAACAAGGCAGCTGAGGTCGGTAGTTGAAGGGTATTTATTTTCCCTCACTATTGATCCCGATCAGTGCAGCTGATACACAAACAGAACAAACAAGGCAGCTGAGGTCGGTAGTTGAAGGGTATTTATTTTCCCTCACTATTGATCCCGATCAGTGCAGCTGATACACAAACAGAACAAACAAGGCAGCTGAGGTCGGTAGTTGAAGGGTATTTATTTTCCCTCACTATTGATCCCGATTACTGCAGCTGATACACAAACAGAACAAAACCGTCTCAAAAATCGATAATAATGAAATCCCTTTATTTCCTGAAGAATTACATTTTATTATTGTGAGTACAAATAATAAAAATAATGTTTAAAATGGAAAAAAAATCCTTACAATATATTTGACTGAGTTAGGAACAAACAATGGTTTGAAGAGTACTAAAAAGACATTTTAAACATTTAAAAATGAAATGACAATTGATTATCAACGAAAATCACTGTTTTTATATGAAAATTATTCTTTGTTTAACTTTTGAAAATAGATTCACTACACGTGAGGTTTGTTTGTAACTCCATCGGAGAGAGGAGGGGGGGGGGAGTTGAAATTGTTTGGTATGGCTGTGGCTGTCAAAAATGACTTTACAACGGAGTGTTCATTGTTTAGGGTCAACAACAATGTTTATGTTTGCAGTTATATTATAAAAACCCCAGACTAAAAACAATTGCTTTGCTTATTATAATTCTGAATAGGACAAAGCTTTTAGCATTGATGTGAATAGTAAATTTCGTTCTAGAAATAGAAAAATGGAAAAATCGGCATTTTTTTCGCCAAAATTGTCTTTCGTTGGGAACCCTACTTGAAACTAAATTGCGTAAACAGACGCTTTAGACCACGAATAATTGTCCTAACAAGTTCGACTTACGAACAAGATCTAATGTTCTAGTCTCTATATCTTTACAACCTGATTATTGATAGCTAAATCTTTAATTTTTTAATGTTGACTATTATATCAAGTTAAATTCAAAGTTTATCTAGCCATTTTGCAAAAAATAGAACGAAAAATAATCTTTGATGCAAGGTACTAATGCAAGGAAAGTTATTTCAGAGGTGTACGGATTTTTTGTACTGCAGTGTAATGTCTTTGGGCGAAAAAGTAAACACAAGACGGATGTCGAAGCCTGACATGGAATCCTTTTTCACAAAAATAATCTATGAAATATTCTATTATGTGAATTTTCAAGATTATCAAAATTAAATGCTTTTATCCTCCTCTGCTACTAGACAAACACTGATGCATCTATTCTTGTTTACAAATTCCGCCCCAGAGAGAACTGGTTTCAATATGTACGCAGAGTATACGCGACCGCAATTAACTTTCCTCGCATTAGTACCTTGGAGTCGATGCATATGTTCAGATCAATGGTTCAGATCCGGTTCCTTAGTTTCCATATTTTCATCCATATTTAAAATATTCATCTAACTTGCAAATTAAAGCAAATTGCACTTTAGATTGAAATTCTAAATGTTTTCAATCATTATATCCTTTAGTTGTATAAGTTATTAACAAGAAAAAAAAGTTTGAATTCCTAATATGAATCCTGATAAATCTACTTTTTGCTAAAAATAAAGATATGTAGAACTTAGAGGTTACAAAGTTGTACAAGCAAAATTTCATAAATTTGACCTTCTATTCTGTTGCTGAATGTCATAATCAGAAATAGTGTTCGTTTAACTACTGTAAAAATGTTATGAAAAAATAGAATAACTAACAAAATTGTAGTCCTACAGTCCTAACCTCCCCCCTTTAACAAGGAAAAACAAGAAACTTTAAAGCTTATAGAGAATGCAGTTTTGTTTTTCTTTCTGTGTGAAGAAAATAAATTGTGTTTATTTAGGTTTGTGTCTGGTAGATTGCAATATCCACCATCTTCAGACATTATTCAAGGATATGGTCAAGCTGCTCCACCCTCACAGCTTATAGGTCAATTTAGCAGCACCAACCAAGGAAGCACGTCGGGTCTACGAGCTTCTTCCCAGTTTGGACTTGGCAGGTTAACAATATTTTGTTTATTAAAAATGTTTGGAAATCCTCCAACTAACACCAAAAAATTTGAGAAATCTTAAATCATTATTTTCTCAATAAAGTACAACCAGAAAATGTTCACAGAAAGAGAAACACTAAACAGAACTAAAAGCCCTGAGAAGCGTCTTATTACATCTATAACATAGTTTTCAGCTTTCTATAATTAAATTATTATGTTATTTTAACAAATTCGAATTTAGGAAGCGACAGGCAAATGCAGGAAAGATCGAATTTCAAAATGGCGGATTTCAAAATGGTGGATTTCAAGATGGCGGCTTTGAGCCCCAAAGTAATCGCTACCCTCCGACTGGAATCAGGAATATTGGAAATATATTCAAAACCTTTCTAATTGAAACATCTAATGTTAGGTCACTCTACCCCTCATAATTTATGCAGAAAACTTTCCTGGAATATTTCCGTTTGAGAAAATGTATTTTCAATTATTCAAGATTTACGAGCCCTGAAGATCTGGTGAGTGGACCACCTTCAGGTAACAGAATCTGTAATAATTAAAGGGACCTTCGACGAAATTTCAAGCGGCCTTTATTTAAAGGGACTGTAGCCAAAATTCTGTGTTACTCTCAGGGTTATATTGACCGCGATATACTCTTTAAACCTTCATCTGAACAACAGTAAACAAGCTATCGCCGTTACTCGTTTTCTTATCTCTAAGAGTGTTCAATTCTGTAAAGTCTTTGTCCTTGAATAGCAAAAATCCGGGAGTCCCATTTTTAGAAAACAGTGATATTTTTATAAACACCTACGAAGGTTTAACGGATACCGTTGTAAATCAGGCATAGATCGAGGATCATTTTGAAATACTTGTTTTTTCAATAGAAAAATGATAACTTTCCACTGTAAGTTCTTTATACAAAAGACTTTCGAAATTATGTGGCAGCGACTAGGCAGGAAATGAACATAAATTATACATTAGTTTAAAAGATATCAATTCACCCCCCCCCCCCCCGGAAAAAATCTGAAATTGAAAAACTAGAAAATTAAATATTGACTTTAACATTTATAATAGTCAACTAAGAAACAAAAGGCAAGGAAAAAAACTATTTTTGTTATTTTCAGACAAAATCTAAAAATCAGAAAGACAACAAAAAAATAAAAGTATTGACAAAAAAATTTGGAATACTTTTAAATTCTAAAATCGAAAAAAAAGAAGTGTTAGTTTTCAGAAAAAAATTTAAATTTTCGAATTGCACTGTTATAAGATTTTTAAATGTTGGATTTTCCTAATTTTATTTAATTTTTCCTTGAAACCGGTGTTCCACCCTGATGCCCAAGCAACAATGCTTGAAAGCATTTATATATTAGTGTCCTTGATTTAAACAGCGTGCACATATCATAAACTCAAGAGCAGAAAACTTTAAATATGACATAGTTTAAAGTTTCATCGTTTCATAGTTTAGTTTCGCAGTTTCATACTTTCATAGTTTCATAGTATTGTAGTTTCATAGTTTCATCGTTTTATAGTTTCATAGTTTCATAATTTCATAATTTCAAAGTTTCATAGTTTCATAGTTTCATAGTTTCATAGTTTCATAGTTTCATAGTTTCATAGTTTCATAGTTTCATAGTTTCATGGTTTTATAGTTTTAAAGTTTTATAGTTTCATAGTTTCATAGTTTTATAGTTTTATCGTTTTATAGTTTTATAGTTTCATAGTTTCATAGTTTCATAGTTTCATATTTTTATACTTTCATAGTTTCATAGTTTCATAGTTTCATAGGTTAAAAGTTTCATAGTTTCATAGTTTCATAGTTTAGGAGTTTCATAGTTTCATAGTTTCAAAGTTTCATAGTTTCATAGTTTCATAGTTTCATAGTTTTATAGTTTCATAGTTTCATAGTTTTACAGTTTTATAGTTTTATAGTTTCATAGTTTCATAGTTTCATAGTTTCATAGTTTCATAGTTTCATAGTTTCATAGTTTCATAGTTTCATAGTTTCATAGTTTCATAGTTTCATAGTTTCATAGTTTCATAGTTTCATAGTTTCATAGCTACATAATTTCATAGTTTCATAGTTTCATAATTTCATAGTTTCATAGATGTTAACATGAAGCTAAAATTTTTTTTTGATGCATAGGTTAGGGTGGAGGACATTTTGAATTATTTTTGAACATTTTCCGACGTACTTTTTGAACTGTTTTTAAATCCTCCCTTGCACCCAAACCATTAAAGTTAAATGTATATTTTTTTAATGAGCAGGCCTTGAAAAATAGGACTAAGGGCATGCATCAACCCTAAGGGCAAAATCATATTAAGGGGGAGGGAACCCCCCCTCCCCTCCGCCTATATTAGACAAAAAAGCCATGTCGGAAAGGGTTATAGGACAAAAATCTAGCAATTGGAAATTACTAAGATCTAGAATTTTATAATCAAAATACAGGAAAATAAAAAAAAGTATTATTTTGAATTTCCTCGAATTACATATATCGTTAATTTTAGTTTATATTTCGTTATCAGATGTCCTAAAAAATCTAATATAAAAATCTGATTACTCATTTCAACCATATTCCGATTGGGCTATTTTTGTCAAATGTAAATTGGGCAGGGGGCTGTTTTCCACCCCCCCCCCCTATGCCCTTAGAGTTGAGATAGGGGAGTTTTTTAAATGTGGACCACCCCCCCCACCCCTCATTACCACAAACCACAGCGGTGTATCAACTATAACCGGAAGTCCTTAATCAAAACAAATTTAATCTGTATCTAGAAACATGATGGTTGAATGAAGAAGTGAATCTGAATAATACATCAATTCTGATTTGTAATTGCTATTTAAATTTTTGTATCCATTTACTTTTAAATTCTATATCTGTTTAATATTTGATTTTTATGTATAGCTTAACTAAATTTTAGAAATAGAAAATAAAAAAAAACAATTTTTTAAAAACGAAAGATATTTACTTTAAGCTAATTGATATAACAATATAATTTATTATTTATAAATTATTATAAATCCCTGACTATGACAAAAACGGTGTACCGTTATCCATGAATATCTTGTTTACCCTAAAATTACCCAATTAAGTGAACGGTCCCTTTAATGCCTAGTGTAATAAGTATTTAGCAATAAGAATTCTAAATTCTTTAGCCATATATTAAAAAGCATTAAATAGAAAAAAGAATATACATTGAATCCCATAAACTCTTAGGCCGTGTCTTGAGGGGGGGGATGCAGCATTCCTTTAACACCCCCCCCCCCCATAAGTAAAATGCAAAACAAAAAACTGAGGGGAGCGCATAAAATTAGCATAGTGGGGTCGTTTATTGTATCCCCACTCCCTGACTCAAACTCTAAAACCGCCCTTTGCATAAACCTGCACAATGACTGCATGTTTAATATTCATAGGAGTATTTAAGATTATAAATTGATCTCACTATTGTCTTTCTATTCCGCAGTTGTATGAATCCATTGTAGTAAAATTTGGATAAAAGAATAGACTATTCAAATAGATTTGAGAAAATTAAAGAATAAAAGTTTAAAAGACAATATATTGAAAGAAACATTCTCTAAATTCTTTTATTTTTTCATTTCCATCATTATTTTATCATTACAATTACTATAATTATATATACACATAGATCTGTAGTACAATAGAATTTAATTAAAATATAATTATAATAAAATAGAATAATGCACGCAATTACAAAATTGACAAGTGTTGACAATTTGACAGTTAACGGTTTTTTGAAATCATAAGAATTAAAAAGGTTCTGAAGGAATTGAGTCTGTGCCACAAACTCTGATTTTCTAGTCCCTATATCTTAACATCCCAATGTCGTAGACCTTAGATATTTCAAACTATGAATTCTTAGAAAGACTCAATTCCTTTACATTTAACATTTAAAATCCAAGACATAAGTATTTTAATAAAAAAGAAGGGTTTCTTAATTTTTGTTCAAATTTAGTATTTTTTGTTAAGTGGGACCAAAACCAGTCAAATGTGGACGGTCCCAATGTCCATGTGCCATATGGGGACCTCGTATATAATTTGACGATCAAACAGGGACATGGGGACCAAAATGGCCACTCGGTCAATTTGGTGTTCAAATTTAGTATTTTCAGCGTTCTATAGCTCTGTAGATCTTAGTATCAGTTTTATTTTTATCTATTTACATAGAATTGTATATATATATATATATATATAGAATTGTATAGTTTCTTTTTGGTTTGTTTGAATTCTCACGTAGAGAAACCCTTATTTGTATTGCACTAATTGTTTTTTTAGTGTAACCTTACTCGATATTAGAAGTGTTTTATTTCCACGAAGGATTTCAGGCAATAATTCACAACGATACCCTTAACAGCTTTTTCTGATAAAGTATCAATTATATATTTATGATTTTGTCTATTTGAACTGTTTTTTCATTCGAAGTTTTGATTTGCGCATTTCTTGCTTACATTCGTATTGCGCTAATTGTTTTTTTTAGTGTAACCTTACTCGATATTAGAAGTGTTTTATTTCCACTAAGGATTTCAGGCAATAATTCACAAAGTTACACTTCACAGCTTTTTCTGATAAAGTATAAATTATATATATTTATGATTTCGTCTATTTGAACTATTTTTTCATTCGAAGTTTTGATTTGCGCATTTCTTGCTTACATGAAATTTACAGAGATGAATACTTTTCAAGCCGGAAAAATGACGACATCTTCCATATTTCATATCAGATGAAGGGTTCAATGGGAAACATTGGAAATCGGAAATTGCGATCCACCTAAATTCGGTAAAAGTAAATATTTCTATTTACTGATAGGATTCATCACTAATTGGATAATGAGAATGAGATAGATAGAAAGATAGATGTTACCGCCATACTATTTCTATTGGTTCAGAATAGACACCAAACACATGACTGAACCCTGATTGGATAAGGCGCTAATGGAATCAGCATACAAGCGTGGATCTTTGCATGGAGGGTCCCTTGAAATTACGCTTACAGTCCCTTTAATGAAAACTTTTGTTCAGGCACTATATAACGTTTTTTTTACGGGAAAAATTTAAAGGAACCGTTGACATAAACTCTATAATTTGGTTCCCTTTGAAATCATTGTTTGATCAACAAGATGAAAATAGTGTTTTTTTCCTCTGAAAATTAAGAATTTTTTCTTTTAAAAGCTTCTGTTTTTTTTAGAGAATTTGTACAAAGCATATCTGGCCCGGGCACAAGATCAATCAGCAGAAGAGAAGGAGTTCAGTAACAACATTTTTGGAATTAACTCATTTAGGTGATTTACAGTTACACGCTTTGGGAAACCGATTAAGCATTTTGATCCACGTTTATTTATTTCCAATAAAGATTGAATGAAACATCGATATTTATCACTTTAAAGTGTCATGCTTCGTGGAACACCCTGTACATGCAACTCCTTTGGGCTTCTTCCTCAGGGGCATTGTGAGCACTAAGGAATCTAGTGTCCTATCTGTTATTTTAACTAATCTATATGTTACTAAGTATCGATCACAAAGGTTAAAGCTAGTAACGTTGTGATTTGGGCTTAGATTAATTAAGATAAAAGCCAGATAGGTCACTAGATGTCGTCTTTTTAAGAGGAATTTCGCGTAGCCTGTACTACGCCGACTGCGCGAAACTCCTGCGGGCTTCTGCCTCAGGGTTATTGTGAACGAGTTTCATCCAAATCTTGAAAAGACGACATCTGTTGACCTATCTGTTATTTTATTTAATATATATTTAGTTAAACTTGCGGGATTAAAATTATAAAGTTATAATTTCTGATTTTTATTCATAGAGCTAGACTCTGAGGGATTTATAATTTTAAAATCTCAAAATTAAATCATTTTCGCAGAAAATATTTTGAAAGTAGGACATGCTTTATTTGTTTATTAACCCAAAACAAATTGATTTTCATTACATCCCTATAAACCTGTTTTTAATGATTTTTATCAAATTAAATTTTTTATTTCAGATCTTCTGGAAATGATAAGGTAAGAATATTTTTTGTTTATATTATTAATTTATTAAACTATGAAACAATACATTTCTTTATTTGAAGAAAAGTTTCAAATCTTTTGCAGAGAAAACAGAACTTTAAAACATTTTTCATCTGATTCAAACTAGAATATGTCGTCTTACTAATTTTACCTAAAGTGACTTGGAACTTTTAAGTCAACTTTCATCTTGTCCGATTCACAATTTTCTCTTTACACCTGTATAGAATGTAAAAAATGACAAATTCTAACATTTTCCTCAGATATTTTTAAAGCCCAAATGCTCAAACGATTAAACGATTAAAAAAAATTTACAATTATACAAGCATTTAAGATTATATTGTCGTGAATCGGACTTGCCATATTTTAATGGAGAGCTGTTTAAAATTTAATCTCCTGTTCAACGAAATAACCAACCTTAAATTCCCTCCTTTTTTAATTCCAGGGAGGATAATTACTTATCCTCCCTATTTACAGGGAGGATAATTACTTATCCTCCCTATTACAGGGAGGATAATTACTTATCCTCCCTCTTTACAGGGAGGATAATTACTTATCCTCCCTCTGTGATCCATACAGATTTATCAAATAAATAGTTCTCTAATTTAATTTTATATTTACATTTATCACTCTCTTAATCAATCTCTTAATCATAATTGATAGTTTTATTGATTTCATTATTATTTTATCCCCCACGGTTGGTTATTTCGTTGAACAGGAGATTAAACGATAAATTACTACTTAACCGGGAGTTTTCATTAGGATAATTAAATTGAGGGGAAAACCACTTAGCCGAGGGCCTCCAAGACCTTTTTGGGGTTCTAAACCTCACGAGCGTAAATCTCCCGGTTAAGTAGTAATTAATAGTTAAAACGTTTTTAAAACAGTCCTTTTAGTTTTTATCTGTCCTTAACCTTGAATGCACTTATTCTAAATAATATCTCTGAAATTTTGAGAGTTATGGGATTGCATTTATTTTGGAAAATCATTCCATCTTTTTATTGCAGAAAATTCAGTCTACCTATGATCTAGCGACTCCAGTTGTACTCTCTAAACCCTCCAGTGTACTGTCTGACCCCTCAAGTGTAACCGGTTCTGGCCAGTTTCAACCAAACCAAAACTGGTTTGGGAAAAAACAAACAAATCTACTACAATATCCAAACCAGAACAACAGCAAAACAAGGTTAGACAAACTTTTTGATTTTAGTTTAAGAGTTTTAATTTTTGGAGAACATTTTTTTTTCAAATTCTGGAATCTTTTTTTAAAACAATGAGAAGCAGAAAACTCTGGAATAGGAAGACGACTATTAGACCTAAGTTATGACTTTAATAGTTCAATGAGCATGCGCCACAGTAATTGTGAAGTATAAACATACTTCATGAGTGAGCTATACTATTTGCTTTGTAACAACACCAGATACACTTCATTATTGCTTTTATATGTTCTTCCTATTCCACAGTTTTCTGGTTGGTATCCTATTAATCTATAGAAACAAAATGGTGGTATCCTGTTCATCTATATAAACAAAATGGCGGTATCCTATCAATCTATAATAAACAAAATGGTGGTATCCTATTAATCTATAATAAACAAAATGGTGGTATCCTATTATCCTAGGCGATTATATCCCTACAATAAAGACGACTTTTTGATATCAATTTTAATTTATATCAAGCTGTTAAACAGCGTGGATACACATAAACATAGAAGTCAAGAAAAGCTGTCAATAAAAAAAAGCTTCTCTTTGATTACTTGTAAACTTGGAATTGAAAAAAAGCTTGCGAATAATCAAAACTTAAAAAAGTCGTCTTCATTGTATTGAAATAATCGCCTACCATTGTATAATAAACAAAATGGTGGTATCCTATTAATCTACATATATAAAAGTGAGTGATCGGAAGGTTTCTAAAAGTTGGCAACTAGAAATAGATCTTTATTTCTTTTCCTCGGATGAATAAAGACTGAGACAATTTATCCATTTATTCATTTTTATGTATATCTNCCCCCTCAATACAATATTGATGCAATACCTTTCACGTTTTCAGAGATAAATTAGTCATAACAGTCTAATAAAATTATAAAACTTTTTTTTTACCTAATAAGGATTTAAAAGACCTGTCGTGTAGTTTCAAGGAAAAATCGATGCGAATTTTATCGATTACTTATTGAAAACTAAGTTTAAAAGGAAAAGTGCGTTAAAGATCCTAATTTTCATATTGAACGAGAACTGAAGATGGACATGAGAAGGACTAAACTAACATAAATTTCTCTCTTCAGAACTCATGTACGCCACAAGTACTCAATGACATAAGAACAGCCAATGTTCACAACCGACCTAGTTAATCTATATAATAGAAATATCTTTAAACATCTTTTTACATCTTTATATCTTTCAAGATGAAAAATGTCGCCTTATGCGCAATCTATCTAGTTATCTATGGATAAGACCAAAGCGAAGTCTTAAAATTGATGCAACTGTTATAGCAGTCTGGATTTACAGGGTGTCCCATGAAACATGCCAGTTGGTGAATAGTTTTAAATGTCTTCCGATTGACAACGCTTTTTTTGAAATATCCATGATATGTTCTTTTTGAAAATAAATTATCACTTAACTGACTCTTCATTAGTTTGTTCACTTCTATGATCAGTGTACACCTAATATGCAAATATTTACCGAAATTTTAGTGAAAAGAAATTTCTTTCTAAAGTGCTTCAAAAACAAGAAAAGAAAATTTTAGAATTAAACACTTTTCAAGGTAGAAAACCAACGATATCTCCATAATTATGAATCAGGTGGGTACCATCATAGATTAATTAAAATAACAGATAGAACACTAGATGTAATCTTTTCAAGATTTGGATGAAACTAGTTCACAATAACCCTAAGGCAGAAGCCCAGAGGAGTTCGCGCAGTCGGCGTAGAACAGGTTTCTTTTGTAATTCTACGTAGACTAGCTGCGCGAAACTCATCTGGGCTTCTGCCTCAGGGTTAAATTGTGAACAAGTTTTATCCCAATCTTGAATTTTAATCTGTTATTTTAATTAATCTATGGGTACAATTGTGAATGAAAAATCACGACGACATTTATTTAATTAAGAAAACCATAAATCCCCTGAATCAGGTTAATTTATTACTGAACTGATTTAGGAATAATGTTGAGCTCTCCAGCCCTTCTCTCCAACTCAACCAACAGGTTAGATACAGGATTAAGCAGACAAAGAGTTATGTGGCTTCAATTGCTTTGTCTTTAGGTAATTTTTTGCTTCAAAATTTGGTAAAGTAATGCAATAAGGAAATGTTTAAAAAATTGGTTATTCTAAAGATTTGCTTGACATATGCTTTGTCAAACGACAGAAGATATGTGCAAAAAACGATGACAGAGCGATTTATATGACAAGAAAACTCGAAATTAATGGTTTATAGGACTAGAAAACACCCAGATCCCTAGATCGGGAGGTGAGCGGTTTCCATAAGGCAGAAAACGAGCATTAAGTCTAATGCTCGCTTTCTATAAGCAGAAAACGAGCATTAAGCCTAATGCTCGCTTTTTATAAGGCAGAAAACGCCCAAAACCCCCTTACGCTTGGTTTTAAGGGCGAGGGCGACAAAGTGTTTCAGAACCCCATCTGTCAAACACTTTTCAAGCTAAAAATATGACGTTATCCTCCCCATTATTAATCAGGGTTCAGGGTTTTTAGGGTACTATTGAGAATCAGACATGCTCCTGGAGGGTCACTTGAAATTACACGTTATACAGACCATTTAAATATCGTTTTTGGGACATCTTGTATTGTATTTTTTTTAGGATGGACTAGTACCCACTGAAGCTTGGTGGGGTAAAAAGAATATATTTACTACTCAACAATCTTTACCCAACAGGTAGATAATAATAATAATAATAATAATGATTTTTGTTTTAATATTGTTGACTCTAGTTATTATTCAGCAGATTTATTAGAGAAAGGAAAACCTTCACTCAGAGTCTAGTGCTTTAATGCTGTTAAAGCAATATTCTACAAAACTTATATTCATAATCAGAAAGACCCGGAATTATTTCATAATTAATCAGACGACTTTACAATCTAATTTGTAAAAATGTGATTATTGAAACGATAGTAAAAAAATAGCCATAGTCCTGCCAATTCCAAAATGTGGTCTGCCTTTATTGCGCGTTTAAACTGATCAGAGACTAACTATTAATCTACGGCTGATTTAGAAATTGCGGGATATTATTTTTTAAGAGAAATAATCAGAAATGTGTAATTCTTTTTTAATAACAATTAAATATCGGAATATTAAAAACTGCCAGATCTTCTAAACCTGGGTTCTCTATTTTCTTGTAATTTAACGCAGCATGCACATAACTCCTTTGGGCCTCTTCCTTAGGATTATTGTAAACGTAAAACTCCAAAATCTTGAAAAGAAGACATTTTTCTTTCAGAGTCCGAATTTAACCGGTTTCAATTTAGCGCCGGCTTAAATCTTAAAACATTTTATACATTTTAAGTGGAACAAACCATATTTGAGCCGCGTCTCAAATTTAATCCGTGGCTCAAATTCTTTAAATTCGGCCACTGTATTGTTATTAATCGTTGCCTGGTTTCATTATTCGATAGAGAACAAAAGAAGAATTTCCAAAAAAAATATATGTAAGGCTGTTTCTTGGTATGAATGTAAACAAATCTTAGTTGGGCAGCACTGCACCTATTTACGATACCCTGTTTCGGACTATATATTTTAATGGATATATTTGTTATTATTTTCTATTTTATTGTTTACAATAGATCTGTCGAAAGTGAGCGCCCAGTGACGTTGAATAATCCCAGTCTACCAGCAGTTGTAAACCAATCTAACAATCAACAGTTTAATCCAAGCAACTGGATAAGTACAAGGTATTCTCCAGTAAAAAGAATCTATAGCTTATTGTCTGTAGTGATGGGCAATAGCTAGATTCGTTTTCCAGAAACTTTTAATATTTTTAGACTTTTTAAAGGTTTCAAGACAATCTGAGAAGGAACCAACGATTTAAAATTGTATTTTGTAGAAGTTTGATGTATTTTCTTGTATTTTCTTCCAGGGTGACAAATTTGCATGTTTAGTAAAAGCAAACTTCTCAGAATAAAGTTTAAAATGTTTGATCCTCCTCGTCTTGTCGTAAAACCTTTTAAAAGTCTAAAAACATTAAAAGCTTCTGTAAAAGAAATCTGTCTATTGCTCAGTCCTATCTGTGTATGTATGGTTGAATCAAGGCGTGTTCTAGGACACACGTAGACAAAAAAAACTTTTCTCTTGTGAAAAGTAATCTGCGAGGTTTTGTGTTTTCTAGCTGGAAAACTGTTAAATTCTGATAATTTCTTCCTAACGTATATGCTGTAAAATAACGCAAGCAACCCTTGTGGAGAAACCACAGTTGAAAAATAATGAATGTATGAAAGTTTTTGCTTATTTCTCATTCATTAATTCATGATCAGAGAAAACTTTTCTGAAGCGGACAAGAGTTGGAGTATCAGTTTTAAGGGAACTAAAAACTAAAAGGAGTTTATGTTGATGAATGGTTGTCTTTATTAGGAAAACAAATATGCGAGGGCGCTTCACGCCCACTATTTTTCTTGTAACATAAATTTAACCCTAAAGGCTGGGGGGTCTGAATCTAAGCATAGACTCCTAGAAAAAGGCCTGTAGAGAATAGGTATTGGGTTGAAATGTATGTTCATAACCCAATTCTCAAGGCCAGCTCATTGAAAAAAAAATAAATGATTAACTTGTATAGTTTGGGTGCAAGGGAGGGTTGAAAATAATGCCCAAAAGGTCAAAAAAATGTAAAACATATTTTTTTCCTTAAAACAAAGATCAAAGTGTGACACATGTTTCATACATCCATTTTTTAAGGGCTTTTCGAAAATACAGTTTTTAGATTTTACTTTAGTTATAAGAAGGTTATGGGCTATTTTATATTTTTTTACAGACTGGACCCTACCCTGCCGTATGCATAAAAAAGATTTGTTTACAAAAAATCCTTTATATTTCTATTTATTAAAAGTCAAAAAAATTCACTGTGATAGTGCCAAAAATAAGAGTGCTAGGGCAAATTAACTAGAGGGGGGGGGCGCCGAACACCCCCCTCCCCCAGCCTGTTAGGGTTCAATTTGTAACTGTTGCTTCTGGTTCGCCCTTTTAACTATCGTTCTCCGACGAAAACATATTTTTTCTGTTTAAAGTGGTTTCTAAATTTATAATGTAAATTTTTTCTGGTGAAATGTTTTAGAGATGTTTTGACGTCAATTGGACACCAACAAACAAACAAAGTAGAATTTATTTATAAAAATATTGTTTCTATTATCAATGCTTCCTGATTGAAATTTGAATTTTATAATTAAAATTGTTAGAATAACTGGATAGTTAACTTTTTTAATAATGAAACTAACTTGTGTGAACTTATTTCACCATCTATGCAAACTTTGCTAAACTTTTAATTTAGATTAAAATTGACACAAACATAGAAGAGAAGAGAGATCATAAAACAATTGAGTTAACAAAGAAATGTTATAATGATATTATATGCGCTGAAAGGGTGTTTATAAGTGACCCTCCATGCTAAAGTAGCATTGACCAATTCACAACGGTACCCTTGAAACCTTTATCTGATAGATAATGTCGAAAATACTGTCCTTTTTCATGTATGAAAGTGTAAAGTTTTGATATGTTTTCCTAAAATTCAATTGATATGACACGATCAAGTTTAGGATTTTAACTGATCCTACAATCAAAGACTTAAAGGGTCCCTTTATGGATTGTTACTTTAAGGAACAACGAAAATCCCTTTAATTTATTCTATTTTCATTTTGTTAGGTCTGCCATAAGTCCAGGAGATTATGACGGGCTGAATAACGTAAGTTTAGTATAGTTCAATAACCTTTTATTCTTATTTACCATAAACATCATGAGAGGAATTAAGTCCCCCCCCCTTCAACACTCCCTCTCTTAATAAAAAATTGTTATCCTCTATTTTTTGATCTACAATTTGAATTTGTGCACAGCACTTGTTTTAATAGATAATTTCATTTTTATCATTTTTGGTGTCAATTGATTTGTTTCTTTTTTCATAATAAATTTTATTTCTAGGATGACTCTGGTGTGATTACTCTAGAAAACTTGATTCTCCAGGGAGCCCTGGAACCTCAGTCCTTCACCGTCGACGTGAAATCCAGCTATTCGGCCAGAAATGCCGCAAACTATTAATATCTGGCCGCAAATATTAATTTCTGCCCGACAAAAATGCCGCAAACTATTAGTATTTGACCAGCAGAAGTGCCGCAAACTATTAATATTTGACCAGCAAAAATGCCGCAAACTATTATAATATCTAAACAGCAGAAATGCCGCAAACTATTATAATATCTAAACAGCAGAAATGCCGCAAACTATTATAATATCTAAACAGCAGAAATGCCGCAAACTATTAAAATATCTGGCCAGCAGAAATGCCACAAATTATTAATATCTATGGTTTCCAACGAAAAAGGGGAAATTGTTTGCCGACAATTTTGCATTTTTCGTGGAAAAAATCATTCTTACCGAAAAATTTGCATTTTTTCGCATTTCTTTAGTCTGCCAAAAATGAGAAAAATTTTGCTATTTTCGTGAAATTTCGCTTTAATCTGTTTAAAGAAAAATTGCGAAAATTTCGCGGTAAAAAAAGGCAAAAATTCGAGAAAAAATTCTCTTCGTCAAAAAGGAATTGAGTCTTTGCCACAAACTCTGATTTTCTAATCACTATATCTTTGGAACCAAATGTTGCAGACCTTAAATATTTCAAACTCTGAATTCTGTTAGATCAAGTAATCTGAGTTTGAAATATCAAAGGTTTACAACATCGAGTTCTAAAGATATTAAGGTTTAAATATTTGATTTTGTTCCAAAGACTCAATTCCTTAATATTAAATAAAGTAAAGGGAGAAAGATTATTAATTATGATATTTTAAAACTTCTAATTAGGGTTTCCATTCGAAAAACGTTTGCGCAATTTTTGCGGAATGAAACGCAAAATTTTTCTTTCTTTGCGCAATTCCAAAACTAGAGTTTTGCGCAATTCCGCAATTTCGTAAAAATCAAACGGTTGGTGACGGTGTGTGTTTCTTAGAATTCAATTCTGGAAAAATCTTGTTTTGGAATGTTTTCCTATTGGTCACTTTTACATAATTGACCAATAACAGTTAAGAATCAATTTTTGACAATTTGTCTAAAAAGTTACATTTTGCGTAAAACTTGCGGTTTTGCGCAATGCGCATAAAAATTGCGCAAAACTAAAATTTCGTTTCATGCGCAATTTTCGCAAAATATTTCCAGCGCAAAAAAATAGTGCAAAACTCATTGCGTTTTATGGGCAAAAATAGCGCAAAAGTTCGCAAAAAATATTTGCGCGAAAATAGCGCAAATTTTGCGCAAAAGATTTAGCCATTTCGTGGAAACCCTATTTCTAATGCTGAGCTCACAGAGCAAAGAATTCCATAAGTTTTTTTGTGCAATTAATTGTTGCAGCTACAACACTTTTCGCGGAATTTGGTTCCCAAGCTATGATAAGACAAATGTTGTTTTATTTTTTTTAGTTTTGTGCATGAAAATTTAAGTGCATCACTAAAAGCATAAATTGGTAAACACATTTAAAAAAGGCCTATAAATTTGTGAAAATGTGTTGACGGATTTGCCAAAAAACGTATAAAGAGGGTTTCTGCTGCTATATACGGTACAAGAAAATCTCAGTACAGTACAATTGTATGTGAGCTGAGGTGGAAGAAATAGCCGTGCCGGTGCCAATCAACCAAAAGGAATTTTAACTTTTAACAATTTACGGGGCATTAAGAGACCATAATTCCAAAGAACCTTTTTTTGTTGAATTTTTAAAAGTTATTTTATAGTTGTTGTGCCTTTGAGACTTAAAACGGACTTTTATACGTAATTACATTAATTTATTACATTAATTTATTACATTAGTTTATTACATGGCCTGTTTGAATCACGACGGCGCGGTGTCCTTTAAGAGGTCACTTATTTATGAGAACGTCCACACTTTTTAAAGGGAGTGTTCGCGAAAAATGAAAGGGGGGTATAGGCTTAATGCGATAAAAAAGCGCTTTTGATCGCTTCTCATCTTACTTCTATCTGTTGCGTCTATAAGGAGACAATTGTTAAAATTATGAAAAATCAACTATATACAAATGTGGCGAAAGATAATCGATGACCAGAGGGTGTAATATCTGAATGATTTGTTTGAAATTAAATAGATTTATTTACGGTATAAGTCGTATGTTGCATCTTTCTGAATTTGTATTGATACTGCGTTCTTCGGTGTTAGTCGTTTTTAACAATTTTCTCCTTATAGACGCAACAGATAGAAGTAAGATTAGATGCGATCAAAAGCGCTTTTTTATCGCATTAAGCCTATACCCCCTTTCATTTTTCGCGAACACTCCCTTTAAGATAAAAAAGAGGAATAACTCCATCAACTTTGCTCAGACAAAGCTAAATAGACCAATAAAATATATGGTTTGTCACTTGCAATTACATCTACAGTCTCTTTAATGATGTATTTTTCCACTGTCTAAAGTGACTCTTAAATCTTGTATTAAGCAACCCCAAGTAAAAGTTATGTATCTGATATTATATATTGATGATTATATATATAGAAATTATGTAACTTAACACTTGTTCTCTGTTAATAAATTGTGTGCCTTTTCTGTCGCTTGTTTTATCTGTTCAGCATATTATATTTATTCAGTGTCCGAATTTAATGAATTTAAGCCACGTCTTAAATCCCCCAAAAACCGGTTTTAATTGACCACCGGCTTAAATCTTGAAAAATTTAATACAAATTTAAGTGGAACCAACCATGTTTGAGCGGCGGCTTAAATTTAAACCGCGGCTTAAATTCGGCCTCTGAACTTCATATTTTCATATTTTATTCCACATACATTTTTTTAGAAGCCAGACTAGAAGGGTACTGTCCCGGGTCACTTTATATTTTCTATATATGTACTGTACAGCTTGCTTTAAAGTCGACCATGTACTTGAAAAGAAGTTTACAATGGTCCGGGAGTGTTTGTTTAAA